GCACAGAAGGGAAATAAAATACCTTGCAAATGGGTGGCTGCTGTTCATGGCTTTAATTACGGGCTCTTAAAAACATACTTCTTTTACAGAAACTTTTTTTTACCTGACTCCCTAGAGCATGTAATGGCAGTGTTTTCTATTCGTGTGCTTGATTTCAATGGACTTTTTTTTCCCCAATGATCTAAGAGATGCTTGTGTTTTGTAAACTTTGCTCTCTATAGCAATGCTGTTACAGAACTTCAGCTGCTTTGTGTGCTCATGTTCAAACTAATTTGTGGTTACTGGAGATTTGGCTGCTGAGGGAGCCAAAGGGTGGGGAAAGGAGGGCTTTGATAACAGGCTGTTTGAAAGCTGCTTCAAGAAAAATAAATTGTACTAACCTTGGTGAAAGGGAGCAGAATGTAGTATTTCACAACTTCCGCTTGGTTATTTTCCATTTCTTTTGTCAGAGATACTGAGTAAAATTTGTTCTCAGTAGCACATCAAGTTAAACATCTTCCTCTCTCCACAGATACAATAATGGTATTTAAAAGTCATTAGCAAGTTGGCTCCTGTATGGCAGAATGTCTTGATGGAGTCTCAAAATAAACCTTTGCATACACCGTTTGCAGTTGTGATTTTTTTTTCTTTTTTTTTTGTCTGCTACAAATTGCAAATACTTTCCAAAAAGTATAGGACTTAAGAAAAATCTTGGCCTGGACAGTAAGCTTAATTTTGGTATAAAAATTACCTTAGCACATAGGTTATGCTTTAAGTGGCCTTTGGAGCTTGTTTTTATTTTTGCTGATATTTTTGAGACTTTGTATGTGCTGGCCTGGGTTGTTTTACCTGCAGCCTCTGTAAGTATCAATTTAAGTACAGTGAACCTGCAGTGGTGTTGAACAAGTTACGTTTACCCATAGCATCATTCTTAAAGCCACATTTTACTTTAATTTTGAATTCTTTAAACTTTAAATATAGCTGTGGCTAGACTTACGGTAGTGAGATTCAAAAGCTAACATTCTTGATTAATCAGTATTTCCATTATGAAATGTAATGTTGTGAGTGGTTAGTTAGGATGACATCAGTCTCCCAGCAAATATATCTTTATCACCATCTATAAATAGACTGCGAGCTACTGCAGAAAGCACTTCCTTGTACCAAGAGAAAAGGTTTCTCAAAGAAACGAAACTCAGAAGTACGGAGCTGGCCACGGTGGCTGCTGTACCTTGAGCAATGTTGTCACTCAATGTGGCAGCAGCCACCTGAGGGACACGGCTGGGTAACCCTCTCCCAGCTGCCGTAGCCAAGAGGTTCTCCATTGCTTCATGGAGAGGCTGAGAAGGATGTAAACCTTTGGGTTGGAGAAGATCTTGACGTAACATGCGGGATTAGCTGCTTGCCTTGCCCAGTAAAACCAGTATTAACACCAAAGCCTTTTCATGTGGAATGCACTTTATATATACAGTTGGTTGGAAAATGAGTGTTGTTGCTTGCTACACTGCCCGTAGTAGCTGCTCATAAACCTGTAAGGTCTGTTTTGTGACATGTAACTGTGGAAATCTTACGTCATCATGAGACTGCTATGGAACTAAAATAAATAATATCTTATAAATGTTTTCTTGATACAGCAACTTACAGTTCTAGTTAACTGCTTTATAGTCTATTGTTAATCATAGGAACTAAGAGCCATGGAGTTTACTGTGGCTTGTATGAAAGTTGATTGTAATCGGTTTTGAGGGGGAGGGGGTGGCACAAGGAATTGGATGTAAATTTTGATTCTAGGCTTTTTTTTTTTTTTTTCCAAAGGGACCCTCACAAATCTCCTCTTAAATACCAGGGAGCTGTGTTTGTCCTGTTGCAGGCATCCTCGCTCAGCTCTGAATGCTTTAGGCTTCCCATTTCACTGATGCATCCAAGTTGCACCAAGAGGTGCAGTGACACTTGGCCCTGCAGATATTCCCAGGTAAGCGCAAAAGAAACAAAATCCACATTTCTTGCAGGCGTGTGCCAATGGTCCTGATGAGCAGCTGCGAGGCTGCAGGTAATGGCTGCCCTGGCTGGAAGGCAGCGCTGACCTTGCACCCATGCTGCTGCGGCTGGATTGCTTTTTATTTATTTAAGCTACTTATGTTCAGTAAGGCTGCCAGTCACTCTGGTCACCAGTGAGAGCCATGTTGTGATTGTATGCAGCAGAAATTAATGTGCTACGCTGCCCTGGGGAGCTGCTCATGCTGGGCAGGGCATGGGTCTTGCCTTAGTGCTGCAGCTGTGTTGATGGACAACTGCATAAATACAGACCTATACACATGTATGTGCATAAATATGTGTGTGTATGTGTATATATATATATGAAATATGCAAACATGCATATGTATAAAAATACACATTTTATATATAGGCACACACAGAGCCATACACAACAACCCATACACACATAAATATAGCTACACATATATAGACATGACTCATATATATATATATAGAATCATAGAATCGTTTAGGTTGGAAAAGGCCTTTAAGATCATCCAGTCCAACCATTAACCTAACATTAGCAAGTCCACCACTAAACCAATTAAGGGGAGAGTAGACTAAACCATGTCCCAAAGTGCCACGTCTACCCATTTTTTGAACACTCCCAGGGATGGTGACTCCACCACCTCCCTGGGCAGCCTGTTCCAATGCTTGACTATCCTTTCCGTGAAGAAATTTTTCCTAATATCCAATCTAAACCTCCCCTGGCACAGCTTGAGCCCATTTCCTCTCGTCCTGTCACTAACTACATGGGAGAGGAGCCCAACACCCACCTCCCTGCCCCCTCCTTTCAGGCAGTTGTAGAATGATAAGGTCTCCCCTCAGCCTCCTCTTCTCCAGGCTGAACACCCCCAGCTCCCTCAGCCGCTCCCCTCCAGCCCTGTGCTCCAGACCCTTCCCCAGCTCCGCTGCCCTTCTCTGGACATGCTCCAGCACCTCAATGTCCTTCTTGTACTGAGGATCCCAAAACTGGACACAGTACTCCAGGTGTGGCCTCACCAGTGCTGAGTACAGGGGGACAATCACCTCCCTGTACAATCATATTTATGTGTGTATATATGCATATCTATACAATCATATATGTAGCTATATAATTCTGCACACATATACCTAGCTACATATAGACACGACGTGCTATAGCTATGTATATCTATATCTACAGCAATACATATCTGTAGATCTAGCTATACGTGTATAGAGCTAGATAGTTGTGGCTATACAAATAATACATATGTATGTACACAGAGGGAAAAAAGCACAATACACACAATATGTGGTTTGATACATAGCTATATCTATATAGCTAGGTAGCTATAGAACAAGATATATATTTGTGTGTAGATCTGTATAGATACACAGGTATAAGTACATACAAACATATATCCATATATGTATATGTGTGTGTACACACATATAGTGGTATATATGCATATATATATATAACACCACATACACCACCACCCCCCTCAGTGGGTGCAGGGCCATGTCACTCATTGGTGTCCCCACACACCCACCCTGCCCCGGTGCTTTAGCCAGTTCTGTCGAGGCACTTTATTGCCTTTTGCTGCCCCCGGATTCAGGGCCAGCTTGCTTCAGCCAGCAGAGCCCCGTGCCACGGCCCCGGCACTGGCATCAGCCCCTCTTCCCCACTGACAAGCTGACCAGGCACCGCAACACATATTTTAAATATTGCTTCTTTAATAATCTACATCGTGGCAGTAGCTCCAAGGGAGGACACGGCTGACAGGATTTTTTTTCTTCCGCCCCCGTGTCTCTCCACATCAGTAATTCCTTAATGCTGCAGACTTCTCTATCCCCCGGCTCCCACAGGCCACGGTTAGATTTAATTCTGCTAATTATCTTAAATATAAAACATAATGCAACTGATCCCCTGACGTTGCTGTAGTAATAAAAAATAGAAGAAGAAAAAAAAAGTTTGTATCCTTATTGCCAGTGTGTGTCAGTAACTGCTTTTTCCCTTACAAAAGCCTTGCTCCTCGTGCCAGTTAAGGTTAACGTCTCCCTCACTGTTGAGGGCCGATCCCACGCTGAAACAAAGTCAAATTATTCCTCAGGCTGAAAAAGGAGAATTTAAAAAAAATGGTTGCAAGAAAAGCCCAAGTTTCCTACTTTAAAAACAGTTCACAGTTCTTTGAAAGGGTCTGAGCAGTACAGTAGAGAGCTACATTTACTGAAAACTTCTAGTGCTGATAAAGTTTTAACGCAACACAAGGGGGTCAGTATTTCCAGGTGGTTCAAAACGGGATGAAAAGAGACAGTGAGAAGTGGGCAAAAATGGAACATATTACAAAATGGGCCATATTGACTCCAGGTTCAGTTTCGTGAAGCTAGAAGAAAACATTGTTAGGGTTTTTAAAAAGGAAAAAAAAAAAAAAAATTGTTTTTAAAAAAACATCCAGTTTTCCAGGCCGGATGGTGAGGAGACCCCTGCGCACAAAGGCACGCCAGCGCG